TGGAAAATGCGACTTCTCAGGGGTGCGACATAGCAGGAGATTGACTGTATATATATATATCACACGTCTGATGCCAGACTGTGCCAAAAAAAATCATGGTACAATATTCTTTATAAAAAGAAAAACGCTCCACGATTTGCAAGTGTGCCCGATACTGCAGGTTGCCCAGGCCAAGGAAAGTGAATTTTCTTGAGGAATCGACAACCGGAACCTTCGGCTAGTCAAAGCCTGCCCCGCAAGGCAGTAAGGTGGTGTGCGAAAACCGCATTCCATTGGGAGCCGGTGTCCAGTTCATCGGATCATATGTCTTTCGGATGGAATCGAACGTCCAAGGTGCCCAATACACCTCGATGCCCAATCGAGCCGGTGGCCATTGCCACAACCGGAAAGGTGTGGGGGTGTGGTTCTGTAACCAACTAGTACCGATTTCCATCCTCGTAATTCAATTTCCTCACTGTTTAATCTGCGGTTCCTGTCTCCACGAGGCTGACGAATGCATTAACGGATACACACCAGCAAACTGCTAGACATGCAGGTGGACTAAACCAGATTTATGCTGGTACTTATTGGTATTTACAAAGCGACTTACACTTACGTCCTCCAGATGAACACGACATGCTGATAAACCATTGAGTGGACTTGTTATCCGCATGAATGACATGAGGACAGTTTGAACTAGCAAGAAATACTCAAAATATGCAGTTACCGGTGCGGAGAAACATAGTTGTTAACTTCTTATCAAAAATGTGCATTAGTTCGTATCTGTATGCACCAGTGAATTCAAAAAGCGTATAGCGGGAAATCACGAGAGATTCGAAACCGCTGGCTCGGGGTTTGATCGGCCTCTGTTTTGAAGCATACCGAAAAGTGTATTCTTTTAATCCCAAGAAAAAACGGGAGATCATGGAAATGGACCAATCGAAGATACTGAGAAATCTTACCTCTTTGAAATCGGACGGGATTAACACGTGTGTGGGCGGAGCTGAACTGACGAATGCTGAGAATGATGGATCCGTGTAACCACTCAATTCTCCTCCGCCGGCAATCAGTTGGCGAAGTCCAGACTTCAGGTCTGCATCATCCTTGTTGAGGGTCGGATGCAGTTCGACAATTGTGCCCGTGAATATGGATTTTAAATGACGTGATTTCTTCGGTGCTGTGGGTTTCTGGGATTGAAAACAGATCACCAATATCATTAAGTTTCGTTTAATTAATCAGGGAGAAATAGGGGAGGTCGACTAAATGAAGACTGACGCCCACAGACCTCTTCAGTTGTAGTGCGGTTCAATAAGCGATAGCCATCAAAGCCTGTGCGGATTATTCATTGTCATAATGATGGTGAGTAAAACGAGAAAAACAACAATGGCACAACAGCAACAAGAACAAGAAGTCAATAAAAATTAGTAAACATACATGAGTTACTCTATACACCACCTATTCATAATTCCTTATAATGTAAAACTTTACTGACAACCAGCTTCAGTAATTACTGGGTCAAGATAAGCAACTGGATGAACTTTGATGGTAGGCAGTTTCGCTGTGGCCCGGCTCAATACTATGCCTAACCTAATGCGTGGGGCCTTATGTGGTTCACTACTCCCAGTCCTGGGGCTTTTATTGCCGGTGAGCATGACTAAATAGCAGATTATCATGACTGTGGGAATGACCGGGTTTGCTGTTCATCACATACAGAAAGATGTGTAACTGAAAAGAACTTCGATACCATTTCTGTTCAACGAGCACAATTCACAAACACTCGACCCTCTGGTTCTCGACTGGACCTGAAAATACGGGCGGCGATGAGAATGAGCGAAGAAAAAACAGAAGAGTGAAACCGAACACAGAGCACTTGGTGTGAACAGTGAGGCTTCGGTTGCGGAAAATCAACCCCATTCCGTTAGGCACTTTATTGCCATGTCATATATCGAGTGGTATATATATACATATATATATATATATANGTCAATGTGTATACATTAAGTTATAAGAATAGAGACACAAATAAATATGTGCTCACTTGTCGAAACCGGTTGTGCTAGCAACGGACAGAACTTTCCGGTAGACCCATATATATATATATATATATATATATATATATATATATATATATATATGGGTCTACCGGAAAGTTCTGTCCGTTGCTAGCACAACCGGTTTCGACAAGTGAGCACATATTTATTTGTGTCTCTATTCTTATAACTTAATGTATACACATTGACGTAGCAAATTAACGAAAACAAAGTTGATTCACGTGATTTCGATCTTTCTTGAACTGGATGAATGTTGTGTATTCGGTGGGGCATTCGAGGACCAATACATTAATGAGCTTTTGAAACTGAACGAGAAGCTCAATTCAGAGAAGTATTATCAGTAACTGGATAAGTCAAAGACAGCAGTTCAAGAAAAGAGGCCGGTGATGTTCAACAGGAAAGACATCATCTTACATCATGAAAATGTCAGGCCACATGCTACTTTAGGGACTTGTCAGAAAGTTAAAGAACTAGGCTGGGAAACTGTAGCATTCACCATATTCCTCGCACCTAGCACCCTCTGACTATCACTTGTTTTTCTCCTTACACATTTTTTTGAAGGGCAAAAAATTTAAAAATGAAGATATCAAACGATTACTAGTTCAATTTTTCACATCAAAAGATAACCCATTTTGCAAAAATGAGATATACAAGTTGCCCTCATGCTGGAAAGAAATCATTAATAATAATGGCAATTATACTATTCAATAAAGTTCATTGACGGTAAGGAAAATTTGCATTTCATTCCAGAAACGGACAGAACTTTCTAGTATACCTGCTATATATAGTGACGAAAATAAATCCCCGGGATGAATGAAGTGATAAAAGATTACCGGATACGCATGTCTGACGAGTGGCAAGAACCGTGAAACCGGTCGTGTACTTCCAGGGGAAGTTGGTCTAGTCATTCACATACTACCTATTAAGATATACATATATCTGTATACATCTAGAATCCACTGATGGGTAGTTTGTCGCAGAATTAATCTTTGGTATTCGTCAAAACTGATGCTCATGCATAAAATAACAGTCTGATATTATGTTTGGTCAAAGGAGAAATTGTCATGGGAACTGTTCTGTGAAGTCAGGGTCAATGGAGTGCGAATTTCAGAGAAAACGGTTCCACTGATTGGATTACTTACATGGTGATAGAAGACTATGAACCATTGGCAGCTAATCCTAAACAAAATATTCTGAAAATAGGGCTGTCTTATTTGACAGCTTTTGAAGATCATTGCGTGTTTCACACCTGCAAAGATCGTTGTGTCAAACAACAACAAAAAACGGACAAAGACGATGCTGTCTTTATTCCCGTCTTAATTGCGATGAGGTTACAATAACCGTGACTTTCAGCACTCCCGATTCGTATAGGGGATCTAAAGCGACCAGAGGACGAGTATGTTTCAAACACGAATCCACGAAGATTCTTGGGAGTATGGCACAAAGCGGTATTTCGAGCAGCACTCCATTCCTTTCTTTGAGGATGCAACTCTAGCCCCTGCATGATCACAACGTATCAGTAGGACCAAAGGGTGATCATAGTTGTATTTTCTGCTGGACCAAGTTTATGGACGATGCAATGATGCTCTCGGTGCACCCGTGGGGCTTTATGTGATATAGAGTTTGTCTGGGCCATGCGAAACTCAGCCACTATCTCATCGCTGATAGTCCACAATCGCTTATTCGGGGTGAAGCAATCAATGTCTATCTACTCCCAGGTTAACCACCAGACTGACCGTTTTCCTGTACGCGACCTGGACAGGGGGCCCAGTAACATGAAGTGTCACTGATCGCAAATTATGGCATTCAGTTTTCAGTTTGTACAACCATTAACTACGCACTTTCGTGCGCCGGTTTCGGTTGCTGTCTTTTGGCCGCTCATTTAGATAAAGGAGAAGAATGAAGATTGGAGCGTTGAGAGCAAATTCAAACGGAAGATGGAGAATTCATATAGAATGGTGTTAGGAGAAAAACGAGTAGATGAATGAACGCCACTGTTTAAGACACTCAATCATGTCACTCAGAGTCTCTGACCATCGATGATCATGACCTCGGGGTCCCCAGCCAGGGAGCCTAACGGGACCTATGTGGTCCAGTGTCCTGGTTAAGGTTTGCATATCCACATGTCAGGTTTTCGCTTGACCGACCCGGACCTTTTCCAACCGCTACCTACCTGGGTAAACATCACTCGCCGTGGCAACCTATCTGGTGACATGTGTAACACATGCCCCAACCAGTGTATGCTATGGAGATCGATTACTTGCTTCATTGGACGACCACGATTATCTAAAACTCTACGCCTAACCTCAGTATTGCTCGTCCGCGTGGCCCACCAGACTCGTGCAATGCGACGTAGACAACGGTGTTCGAACACCGTTAATCTATTTCTGTCCTGTTCCCGTAGTGGCCGAGTCTCTGCACCGTAAAGCAGTACTGGCCGAACTACTGCAAAATACAGCCGACCCTTTACGGACAGCCGGATGTCACGACGGTGCCAAAGATGTCTCAAGTTGGCATTCTGCGGAGGTCATAGCCAATCATAGTGTTTTGGGATACTACTCACTTGTGAGTAGTACGCAAAAAGATGCGATCGGCGGTTTCTTTCAACGACCAAAAATCAACAAAACCTGTTGGAGCAAACTGCTGACGTTCGGTATGGTGAATACAAGAATGCGCATCTAATGGTGACTCGTCCATGAACTATCCCGTGTGCGTGTGGGAAATCTGCAACCTTTTTCCAGATGAGATATTTTGTTGTATGAACGAAAATTTAACCATATCTCGAACGCCCTTGGCAATAAACAACTAACCTCGACCAGCACCGTCTTGTGGAATTGTAACAATGGGATATCACGCGATACCAGAGCCGCGGACTGCTCACGTATGCTGGTCGGAAAATCATGATCTCGTAAATCTGTTTGTTAGAGCTCGGAAACCGAGAACGATTCAAGAAAGTACGCGGTTTCCTTTATATGATCTAGTTGTGAAAATGTTGGTCGCCCCAGTGCGAAGCATTCCCATACGCTAGGCGACGTACATACCCCCTGTGTGTCCACATGCTTGTATGAACCGAGAGGGTTACCAATTGATAGATCAGAGCGGCACGTGTGTGTGTGTGTGTGTGCGCGCGCGCGGAGTTCGTGCGTGTGTGCATGGGTTCGAATTCCACCGAGGCTTCCGATCTCGAAAACGGATTACATGAATAGACACTCGAAATAGGGTAAACAAAGAAATTTGAAAATATGCGATAATAAAGTCAAACCGAACAGTGATTGTGCACGTTTGAGTACGATTATGTGCAAAAACAAACATAATTACAAGTCATGGATAATAGCAAGGACTACAACTAACCATTTTAGGAGACTTCTCACTGGGTGATCTCGGACGTTTGATTCCGGAGTTGAGCGGTTTATCATTTTTCACATCCCCTGGTTCCTCCGTACTTATACCCGCCGCATCATTCAAAACGTCCAGCCAGTCTGATCGCTGGCCGGATTTAGTCACGAGATCCTCCAATTCGGGCACACTTGTGGCCTGTTTCCACGTTTTGTCCGGTCGTGCCTTGGTGAATCGAGGAAATCGAATGGAAATGCCCTGATTCTGGCCACTGGTTAAACCGGCTGTGTGAGTGCTTGCACGGGAGAATTCGGCACCGATGATCTCCCATACCGGGGATTTCTATCGTTTGAAACAAATGAGAATGGGACAAAGAGAAAAATTAGCGGAACAGTTGTTGTTTAGGGGGAACAATGAACAGTAAGTAGTCGTCTGGTGTTCCCGCCGGGACTTGAACCACGAACCCTCGCATTGGGAGACCAAAAACTGTACACCTGAAATACACGTTCGACGAACAACATTCAAGGCGTAGGACTTGTTAGTTAGTGCGATGTGTTTCACGACCTGTCAGGGAGTGTGAACTATACGACGAGAACAATATACTGATCTTGGCGTCCATGAAGACATACACATACAAACAGACTGAACCAAGACTTTCAGAATCCGTTTTATGCTGCTTAGCTAATGGTATGAACTATTATTGTGACCCGCGGACTTCTTGTAAGCACAGATCAACCAAAAGTATAGTACTAACACTTGTTCCTCATACAAAGAACCAAGGAATGCTGCACTCGCCACTGGCAACCGAACTTTCTGGTGCCTTGCTAAAGCGGTTTCACGTAATAGCTACAGCGCCAACTCTCCTTCCGTTGGCAATTCCTCTGATTCTCTTATTGTGAACTCTACCGAAAAGCGGGGGTCTTCGCATCCCGGGTTGCCTCCAACCTCATCTTATCCGGTGATCTTGTGCTTTAACCCTTGTCCTACTTTCTGTCTCTCACAAAAATCAGAAAGATCGGTCAAACTATTCATGGTTTAAATGTTTGTATTCCATCGTCTTAAAAATCTGAGCGCTGGAGTTAAACCTTGCTCTAAGCCGACTTTTCTGTTCTTCTTTTGACCTCAAACATTGCTTCGTCCCGTGGAAAAATGTTATCATTTCTCCTAATCAAAAGCTAGACGAACACTGGGCTTCCGATAACTATCGTCCCATCACCCTCAGTCCTGTAAGTTTGGAAGTTTTTGAAACGCATGCCTCTAACCAGCTGCGCGGAATTTCTCGATTGCGAAGGTTTGTTGAACAACCGTCAATACGGTTTTCGCCATCGCCGTTCACGGGCGACTTACTACAATCTCTAACATGGCATTCCTGGTCAACTGGATTCGATAACGACGGAGAAACTGGTTTGGTTTCCCTCGACATTCCCAAGGCTTTCGACCGCGTTTGGCTTGTGGGTCTGCTAACGAAGATACTCACAATCAGATTCCACTCGTCCCTCGGTTCGTGACTACAATACTTGTTTACTATCGCCATCTGAGTGCTTCTCTTGTCTCCGACGTCTGCCTCATCTCCGCGTAGGGCTCTACCAACCGCGAATGTTTTTAAAATTTCCCTTCTTGCTATCTATCTTAAACACGTCCCTTATTTCCCCTTAATGGACTTTGGACTCATTTCCCCTTCATTCTATAAGTTCTCTCTGGGTCTATCCAAAAATTCTCTCTCTCTACTCCTCTCCTCTTTGTATCCACATTCACCGCTCGAGCCGCAAGCAAAGTCGTCATACATTCCCTTACACCTACCCACCTACTCCTTCCATACTAAGTTGAAATCCACTCGATGTTCGAATGACGACTGCAGTCATGTCTCCGGTGAAGCTTCGTATCTTACTGTATTTCTCTTATTGTCAGGATTCAGCGTGGGCTCATCCGGCTGATTAATGCTTCCACCCCTCCTTTAACTTCAAATATGCAGTCGCAACCCCTTGTCCGGGTAGTTACTTCGTTTTTATCTTTTCCACCATCACAGTTTTGATTTCTGTTCTTCTGAACTTGCTTCAGTGATAACCCATCGCTTGTTCTTTTCGGATCCACGGTGTTCTCAGACGGACAGTCACTCTTATCGAGTTTATTGCCAGATATCAGACTCCTATCCGACAATCCACTTTTCCTCTCTAGGACTGTAAAATTGCGGAACACTCTTCCCGTTTTCGTATCTCCAACCATATGTATATATAGTCTGACGCCAGACTATGTGCCAAACAAATCATGGTACAATCAACATTATGAAAAAGAAAAGCTTTCCATGATTTGCATGTGGACTGAGTACTGCCAGGTTGCCCAGGTCAAGACAGGTGAATTTTCCGGAGGAATCCACAACCGGAGCCTTCGGCTTGCCAAGTACGACCCGCAAGGCAGCGGGGCGCTGTGTAAAAACCGCAATCTATTGGGGACTGGTGTCCAGTTCATCGGATCACACACCCCTTGGACTGGGTCAAACGCCCAAGATGTCCAATACATCTCAATGTCCAATCGAATCGGTGACCACTGCCACAACCGGGAAGGTGTGGGTGTGGTTTGTACCCTTACTCTTGGTTGATTTGGAATCAGGGTTTTTGGCCAACTCTCCCAGGCGAACTACCAGTGGTCCACCAACCCGGTTATAGCCCCGGATGTTGGTTTTTCGTTATCTCATTTTGATGGAAAAACACCTCAGTCAAGAGAAGGTAGTGAGTAGGGCTTCCTCAGTAGAAGCTATTTGAGACGCTTGGTCGTACGGGAGCACTTCACGAGGTTCAAGGGAAGGGTCACCAGCCGCCACCCTAGACGTCCCCCC